CACAAGGAAACCTAGAATCATCTACCAAGTTGGGACATCTATTTAAGCCCAAACCAAGCACGAATCAAGGGACTTTTGACACAATCTTGAAGCAAGAGGAGCGAGAGAACGAAGAATCGAAGACGGAGAATTGACAACTCTTCATCATAATTCTTCTTCGCCTATCTTTTCTTAATCTATGACTTTTATTACTTTTATTATGTTTTTCGTTATGAGTAGCTAAGTTTTTAATCTAGGATTTTGTTGGAACCCTATGTGGGGATGGTGAACCCGTTTTCTTGAGATTATGCAATTATGATTTTATGATTATTTCTTCTACTTGATATGATTGTTAGTGCATGAACATGATCAATTTATGTGGTTTATCTGTGATTATTGGGATTGACTCGACAGAGCTATTTTGATAATTAGACGGTAAGTAGAAGAACCTTCGAGTAGTTTTCACCGGATGAGTGTGTCAATTGCATGTGGTGTCGTAGACATACAAATATCACCTTAGGTAGCCATTTACGAGACTTGTTAGTTAATGCTTTATTCATAATTGGTTTGCATAGACATATAGTGAATCGTTTATGAATAATAGACTCATAATACACGCGACAGCGGGTTATAAGTAAATTAGTGTCTCGGGTTAATAATCATGAATCATATATTTCATAATTGAGGGGTTTTGGGAGAGCAATTCTTGCATAGGGGGAAGATAAAATCCTAGGTCCGTTTTAATTGATATTTTCTCGTGTTATTTGCTTTCTTAATTAGTTTAGTTGTTTATTTGATTTAATTTGACAAACTTGCGTAGGCTGGATAAAAATCATAGTTGTTAGAATTTGGTACTTAGGATTAGATAATTTGAGTATTCCCTGTGGGATCCACATCCGACTCTCACGAGTCCACTTTTACTACTTGTTTGCGATACGTGCACTTGCGTGTTAGGTATTTAGCACCCAACAAGTTTTTGGCGCCGTTGCCGGGGAATACGGCTATATTGTCTATTTATTCTAATATTAAATTTAAGCAATTTTTCTTACTTCAGCCATTTTATTTATTTTATTTAATTATTTTATTTGTTTTAGGTACTTTATATACGACAATGGAAGAAGAAAATAATCGTAGGGGCGATGACCAAGGGCGCCTACCGAATGCGGCGGGGGAAATCGTCAATGAGCAAGAGCAACACCAGCTAATTAATCCACCACCTCGTCAACGAGCATTGCATGAGTACACCGTTCCAACACTCAATGGGTTTCAATCGAGCATCCAACAGCCCCCCATTGAAGCCAACAATTTCGAAATTCGAGCGGGACTCCTTACTATGCTCCAAAACAATGGGTTGTTCAGCGGATTAGCTCACGAAGATCCACATCTCCACTTGGTCAATTTTCTCGAGACGTGCGACTCGCACAAGATGAACGGAGTATCGCCCGAAGCACTGCAACTCCGCCTGTTCAAGCACTCTTTACAAGGAGCAGCCCGAGAATGGTTACAAACTCGCGCACCGCACTCCATCTCGTCTTGGTCCCAATTAGCACAAATCTTCATGAACACCTACAACTCCCCAACAAAAACTGAGAGAATCCGGAGAGAAATACAAAATTTCATACCAGAAGCCGGTGAAGCGCTATTCGAGACGTGGGAGCGGTTCAAACAATTAATTCGGAGATGCCCGAATCATGGACTTCAAGAGTGGCGGCAACTTCAGATATTTTATAATGGATTGCAAGATAATTCGAGAACGGTGCTCGATTCAGCAGCTGGCGGTATGTTCATGAGCTTGACCTATGACGAAGCTTACGAACTTTTGGAGCGAATCGCAAGGAACAAATACATGCGGGCATCGGACCGATCAAATAGCGGAGTCATAAAGACGGGAAGAATTTTGGAGTTAGACGGTGTCACCGTTATCACCGCCAAGTTAGAAAAGCTATCAAAGCAAGTAGCAGCTTTGCAGACTCAGCAAGTCCATGCAATCCAAGGACCCGACCAGTGCTTAGAAGAAACGGAATCTCTAAATTACGTCAACGACACCAACCGACAACAGAGGAACCCGTACCCCAACACTTATAATCCGGGATGGAAAGATCACCCCAACTTTGGATGGGGAGGAAATCAGCAAGGACAAAGGCCAGCTCCCGAATTCCAAAATCCACCTCAAACTCCGGCCCAAGGAGTTGACCTCGCTGACATCTTAGCAAAATTCATGACATCAACTCAAGCTTCCATTCGAAATTTGGAGACACAGATGGGGCAACTTGCAACCCAACTAAATGCGAGGCCGTCGGGAGCACTGCCATCGAATACGGAAGATCCTCGAAAGAGCAACATCGAGCAGTGCAATGCAGTGAGTTTGCGAAATGGGAGGCAATTAGAGGAAGTTCCTAAAAAGTCCGTTGCACCACCGCCTATTGTAGAGGAGCCCAAAGAAAAGACCGAGGTCGGGCGAAGCAACACAAAGATCGCAGTAAGTGAATCTACTCCCAAGGTACCCTTCCCTCAACGTTTTCAAAACTCCAAGCTTGATATGCAATTTCAGTTATTTTTGGATTATCTTAAAAAGTTGCATGTTAATATTCCTTTTGTTGAGGCACTTAAGCATATGCCGAATTGGGTTAAGTTTATAAAGGAACTTGTATCGAAGAAGATGAGGCTTCCGGAGTGTGCAGCAATCATAGACCTCAATGAGCAAAGTAGTGCTATCGTTGCAAATAAAATTCCACCGAAGCTTAGAGATCCGGGGAGTTGTACCATTCCATGCACAATAGGTACTAGGTATTTTGGGCGGGCGTTGTGTGATCAAGGGGCGAGCGTAAATTTAATGCCTTTATCAATTTATGAGAAATTGAACTTAGGAGAAATTAAGCCCACTTCCGTGACCTTGCAGCTAGCCGATAGATCTTTTACTCACCCTTTAGGTATAGTGGAGGATGTATTGGTCAAGGTAGATAAGTTTATACTCCCGGCCGATTTTCTAGTACTAGACATAGAGGAAGATGAAAATATTCCCCTTATCTTAGGACGCCCCTTCTTAGCGACCGGTAGGTCAATTATTGACGTAGGAAAGAGAGAGCTAAGAATGAGTGTGGGGGACGAAACAGTGATCTTCAAGGTGTACCGGGTGGATGAAAAGCCTATTACGGCTAATGGATGTTATCTTCTTGATGAGGTAAGTGATTCTAAACTTTTTCCTATTAAATTACATGATTTAAAAAATTTTGTGGATACTAATGTGCAAGTAAGAGAACAAAAGAAAAAGGTTGAGTTGGTTACAACACCTACTCAAAACACCGTGATAAAAGACGATGTTGGCAAGCCTCATGACGTCAAGAAGAATAAATTCAAGGGCATTCCTAAGCGAACCAGTCGAAAGAAGAATCGGATCAACCCATTTATTCAAGACTTTCTCCAAAAGGAAGTACGGAGATGGGTTCGAAAGCTAAGGAATTGAAGAGAAGGAACAAAGTCTGGCTGAAGACTATAAACTTAGCGCTTCTCGGGAGGCAACCCGAGATTTTCGTTTTTTTTATTTTATTTTATTTATTTTTCTTGTTTTATTTTGTTTATTTATTTTATAAGCATGCAAGCTAATAAATTAAACATGTTTTTAATTTTTAGGACCAAAAATCGCAATTTTGCAGCTCATACGGCCGTCCCAAAACAAGGCTTAATTTCACACGGCCGTGTGAAAAATCTGGAAGCTACTGCCCAATTTTGGCAAATCGCACGACCGTGCGGAAAATAGTTCAAAATCTCATACGGCCGTGCGAAACTCAACAGAAGCATAATAAAGGCGAGGGTGGAGAGAAAACCGGAGACGGCCAAGACGACTTATTCAGGTGTATTCTATCCTTAAACTTCGTGTTAATTACATTGAGGGCAATGTAAATTTTAAGTTTGGGTGTGGAAAATTACTTGTTTTTATGTGCTTTAATTTTTTGGTTTGCATGCCTTGTTTTTTTTATTTGAGTTATTTTATTTTAGTTTTTTCTTTCGAAAAAAAAAAAAAATTGCTTGAGATAAATGCTTCGATGAATCATGATGATGAAAGATGGTCAATGTTTAACGATGAAATTGCTTGTTTTATCTTGATTTTGATCGAATTTTGGTGAGCTTTTGATTCAAAGTGTCGTAAGAAGGAGTCATTGTTAGGAATCTCGAATTATGCGTTGCTTTGGTTGAAAGTTTTGTGTTTTAAAATTTGAGTTAATTTATGTTATATCATATGCTATTCGGTTTTAGAACTTGTCTTATGAATTTACAAAGTGAAATATTAAATTGTTGAGTAAATTGGGAAGTGATCTGGGCCATCTTTGAACCGTTTGAGCCTTTCAAGCCTACCTTTAAATTTTTATCATTCGAACCTTGATTGAGCCTTGGAGAAACGGTGATCTTTCTTTTAGCCAATGTGTATAAGGTAGAATAAATGGAGATTCTTGAAAAATTACCCTTTCGAGTTCGGTTGGAAAATTTTATAAGGTCCTTCTTCTTCCTCTACCAAAAAAAAAAAAGAAAAAGAAAAAAAAAAAAGAAGAGAAGAAAAAAGAGAAAAAAGAAGAAGAGACTAGAAGGGAGATGAAAGGACTAGTTGTTTGTTTGAAAGCTCGATCCATTGTCTTAAGAGCAAAAGTGGAGACTTTTGAACTCTTAAGAATCGAGTTTATTAAAGTCCTTAGAGGTGAATTCATTGTTTCAAACGCCTATCTTTCAAAATTTTGCGTAATCACCTCAATTCAAGAAGCATAGCCACCTATACCCATGTCTCCTACCTCGAACCAAAAAGCCCAACATTTGAAAGCCAAAAAGTCCCAATGATCCCAATAGCTCAATTATTTGATACTAGCCGAGTAAAGAAATTTGGTGAGTCTTTGGAGTTGAATATTATTATGTAAGTATAAATTTTCTCCAATTTTAATGTACAAATATGGGATACTTGAAGCGATAGCATGGTTTGTGGTTTTTAGCAATGGTGAGTGAATACGTATCTTTGAATTACGAGCTTGTAAATTTTTGAGAATTGTCATGATAATTGCAAGTTCTGAAAAAATGAAAGTTGACCATTAATCTATGTGATGAGAGGCATTTGTTGAGAGTGTTGCTGTGAAAGTTGACCATTAATCTATGTGATGAGAGGCATTTGTTGAGAGTGTTGCTGTGAAAGTTGCTAGTTTTTGCTTGAGGACAAACAAAAGATCAAGTTTGGGGGTGTGTTAAGTATATATTTTTATACTTTATCGTACCTTTTTATTTGATCTTTTGGTGTGATTTAACGATAATTGGTGCTTAAAAAGTTGATTTATTGTATTTTAGGTATAAATTGAAGAATTGGAAAAGTTTGGGGTCAAAACTGCAATTTTGGAGAAAATATGGGCCAAAAGTGAAATAATAAAAAATCTGAAGAAATTGGCACGGGACGGCCGTCCCAAATTTACACCTAAAAATGGGACGGCCGTGCCAAATGCAGAAATTGGGCAGAAGGTTCGACGATTCTCGCGCGGCCGTGCGAGAATTGCACTGATTTTCGCGCGGCCGTGCCAAATCACGCTGGAGACAATTTTGGACTTTTAAATACACAAGGAAACCTAGAATCATCTACCAAGTTGGGACATCTATTTAAGCCCAAACCAAGCACGAATCAATGGACTTTTGACACAATCTTGAAGCAAGAGGAGCGAGAGAACGAAGAATCGAAGACGGAGAATTGACAACTCTTCATCATAATTCTTCTTCGCCTATCTTTTCTTAATCTATGACTTTTATTACTTTTATTATGTTTTTCGTTATGAGTAGCTAAGTTTTTAATCTAGGATTTTGTTGGAACCCTATGTGGGGATGGTGAACCCGTTTTCTTGAGATTATGCAATTATGATTTTATGATTATTTCTTCTACTTGATATGATTGTTAGTGCATGAACTTGATCAATTTATGTGGTTTATCTGTGATTATTGGGATTGAATCGACAGAGCTATTTTGATAATTAGACGGTAAGTAGAAGAACATTCGAGTAGTTTTCACCGGATGAGTGTGTCAATTGCATGTGGTGTCGTAGACATACAGATATCACCTTAGGTAGCCATTTACGAGACTTGTTAGTTAATGCTTTATTCATAATTGGTTTGCATAGACATATAGTGAATCGTTTATGAATAATAGACTCATAATACACGCGACAGCGGGTTATAAGTAAATTAGTGTCTCGGGTTAATAATCATGAATCATATATTTCATAATTGAGGGGTTTTGGTTCATAATTGAGGGGTTTTGGGTGAGCAATTCTTGCATAGGGGGAAGATAAAATCCTAGGTCCGTTTTAATTGATATTTTCTCGTGTTATTTGCTTTCTTAATTAGTTTAGTTGTTTATTTGATTTAATTTAACAAACTTGCGTAGGCTGGATAAAAATCATAGTTGTTAGAATTTGGTACTTAGGATTAGATAATTTGAGTATTCCCTGTGGGATCGACATCCGACTCTCACGAGTCCACTTTTACTACTTGTTTGCGATACGTGCACTTGCGTGTTAGGTATTTAGCACCCAACAGTAGGTATTTTTACCAAACAAGTTTTTGGCCGCCTTGCCGGGGAATATTTTAAATTTTCCATTATATTCTAATTTTATATCTGAACAATTCTCACGATCTACCCAAATTTTTATTTTTTTTCTTTCTATTTTTTGTTTTCCCACATAGAGTCTTGTACTAAATCCGATTAAGACCATGTTGACTCAACAATGAATACGAATTTTATATTCATTTCCAAACTCTCTCTCTCTCTCTCTAGATTTATATTTTCCATTCGTCAAATTCATCTTCTCCAGCGAAAGATCGGCGCTCGGTGGATTTTCCGGCTATCAAGGGAGTTGTGCTTGGGAGGTCTTGAGGGTGTAGATCTTACACCATCACTCTTCTATTCAGATATATGGCAATTTATGAGAAATTGGGGGCCCTAGGCAAGTTTTAAGAATTTGTAAAAAATAAGCCCATAATTGTATTGTATAATATACACATTAATTCATTATAACGATCACGATCAGATAAAAAGTTTAAAATCGTGAAATAGATAAAATTTGATAGAGAATCTCAATATCAAATTAAATATAATGAATCTAAGACATTCCACATCAAAGCAAGAAGAAGTGTAAAAATATGCAACAAATACTTCAACTATTTAAAATAATATAGTTATGGTTATTAAAATTGTTGAACTATTTATATATAATTAATATCATTGAATACTATGATTAGTGTATATAAAGAGTAAAAAATATTATTTGGGGACCCCTAATTTTTTCTAATTTTTGGGGTTGTAAGTATTTATTCCATAGCACGAAACTCTGCAAATTCTTGGAGTGTTCGTGCTCTATAGCTCGAAACCATAGCAAGTTCAAGTTTTTTTTTTTCTCTCAACTCCTAAACCTGATTGTAAACCTACATTTGTTAATTAATTCGTAAATAAATTGCTTGAAATGAAATAAGTTCCTTAAAATTACCGTAATTGAAGGTCGTAAGTGACGTATTGAATGCCGAGAGTTTAGTTGTTTGGAGATCGTTTGGGAGACGTAGAAAGAATTTTGGAGGAAAAAAAGTTTCAAAAGACTAAAATCCCACTGCAACAGTAAAAGTCCCATTGCAAATAGTAACCCCTAAAATAAGCATAGGGGGTATTTGCTAGTGTTTTTTTATCATAGGGGGAAAAGTGCAGTTGCAATTTTCACAGGGGAGGTATTTGCAATAAACTTCTTGTTGTAATAAAGGATGTAACCAGTGCGAATCCAGCAATTTAGCCAGGGGTGCGAAAGTTACGGGGTTCGGGGGCAGC